CCATGAAGTTTTGTTTCCGTTATGTAAATACAAATTGGTACTTTGTATTTCCTATATAAGTTAATGTTGGATACATAATGCCTTATTTTATCACGCACAAAACATTTTAAGCAATTTTTTGGCATCGTTTAAGTATTTTATTATAACTGTTAATTTGTTATGAGCAAACAAATTATAAAGATACAAGGCAAGTGCGTTATTGTAATTTGTACATTTGTATCCTTTTCTTATCTTTGCATTATTGTACTCCTTTTTTTAATCTCTTTGCATTATTGTATCCTTTTTTTCTTTGCATAGTACTCTTGTTCCCCCTACAAACAATTGTACGTATTTAAAACAATGTCCTAATAGCAATCCAATGATAATTAATATAAGCAATATAGCATCACGTAATTGACTTCATTAATTTAGTAGTTTTCACACAAGTGTGGTTCATAATATTATGTTTTGGACTAGTGTGAGTCGATGTCTACAATTCCTATATAGTCTTCTATATGGTCTTTCTCGGACCTAATATTTCCAAATGTTCAATTAATGAGGTTTCCCTTGTACTATAATATCTCGACTTCTATTAAAACTTTCATACTCTATCATACCTGATGAAAACAAATTTCTATATAACGAGATTATACTATTGATGAAATAATCGTAATCAGTGGAATGATTTAATTATCTATTGTATTCGATGAGTCTATCATTTTATCCCATTGTAAACATTTAAATTATATTGCAACCCCTTTAACCAAAAAAAAAAAAAAAATTGATTATTCGAATACTAATCAAATACAAACCACTCACACAACACGACGACACTTTGTTTCCCAACAATTGATACTCCGTGCGTATTTAACATTTTAACTCACCCCAACCATAAAAATAATTATCATTTTGTGTCCGTGCGTATTAATTAGCATAAATGGTTAGTTTGACTTTAATGCGAATTCATATTCTAAGTTCTGCTAAAAAAATTAGAATTTGACCTTTTTAAAAAAATCTAAACTATTGACCATAAATCTCAACTTGTGTCGATAAATTAACATAAGAACTTCATTGCATTGCATGCAAAACGAAAAAAAATCGCTAGCAACAACAAATTAGTAGTGTGTAATGACTTGTCAAATTCGACAAAATAAATATCAGCTTTGGAGATTTTTAGAGCATGATTATAGGTAGTAAATATGATTGGGGTAATATATGAATTTTGTAATATTTATTGTATTGAGATTGATGAATAGAGAGAGAAATAAAAGAAAGATAGAGAAAGATGTTATATTTACCCACTAAATATGAATAATATAGATTATATATTTAAAAACTCAAAAATGGTTTGGATAAATATAAGAATTTTATAATATTAAAATCTCTTATATTTATATTTATTTATCACCCGTAATCATGACCTAAGGGTGTAAAGGCTGAAAATGGAGAAATGGACCACACATGTGTTGTGATAGTTAATGAATTAATGTTTCCATTTTTGTTTTGGTGTAATGAATTAATGTTTCTTTCCCATGTAGA